AAAAAACTATAAGAAACCCAAATGGAATTGTCTACAAAGAGACCATTTATCTTTTGTACATGGAGGTTACAGTCATTCATACTCATTAGATGTCAAACTAGATGGCTTGGGGTGAGTTACAAAGTTTAAGATTTTTTTTTTTGAATTTTGTGTCTATTCAATGACACTATTACAACCACCCCTTTTGAAATTTAAGGGATAAGAATGATGTGACATTCATACAAACAAGATAAATGGTCTTTTTGTACACAATCCCTTAACAAAACCTCTCATCTAGATAGAATACATTTCTATGGGATGCCTCTATCGGTTTCGTGGATAAGGATTTCCTTATTTGATAGCTCTTATCCCCTTTATTTTTTACTAGGCTTGGCATCATTTTTCACCTAGCAAGTAAATCCACAAGGTCCCACATTTCATCATTACTCAAAGTCCTTCTCCATATCCATCGCACTTCTTATCATTCTCTTTGTGTCTCCTAATTACCCCTTAGTTGTCCTTAATTTATTCCAATTGGTGAATTTCTTCTTGTTTTTTTGTGTGTGTTTAACTTAAAATCTCCATAATTTGGATTTGGTCTCCTTAATTGTGACAATGTCGATAAGTTAACAGCCACACCATTATCAGAATCATCATTAACTTCACCTAGTACTTGTCTTTGTTCAGTCACCAAAAGCGTCTATTCCTTTTGGTTTCACAACAAAATGAGTGGATAGATGACCAAAACAGCTCCTTTGCAATATATCTTTGAATTTTTGGACTTCAAGGATTTGTGAATCCTGATTTCCTAGGACATCCTTAGCTATCCTTCTATTTTACTCTTCTATTGGGGCCCATTTGAGTCCTTGAAAATTATTTTTAAGAATATTTTCATTATAAATGAGGCGTTTATGATGATTTCTAATGATTGACACTCAAATTGGGGAAGATTTAATCTTCCTGTATTCCCATTTTATGTCATTATGGAAAAAGATCTTCCAAGTATACTGGTGGTATTTATTCTATGAAAATGAATCTTCACCGCTAATTATTTCTCTCTCTCTCTCTCTCTCAACCAATCATCATTTCTACTTGGAATTTTCAGGAAATTCTTTTCTAGGGTGCCAAACGGGCCTACACTGAAAATTAGTATATGGGGAAAGTATAGAGCACAATTGTTTCATGTCATACTGTACCGCATTTATACAATATGCAGTCCAAAGGTATAAAGCATTTTTCTTTAAGATGGATGCAAATATGTGGTTCATCTAAAAACAATCGTAACAAATAGTTCAAATGGTCTCTTAATATAATTATTATTTTTAATTTTCAAAATTTATTTATTTTTTCATATTAATGATCTCCATGTTGAAGATTAAATATTCTCTAAAAATGATCAAATTATATTTAGAAAATATATTTATTGCCAAGCCTGAATTTCTATATGTACGGGCTTGGCAGCATGCTAACCGCGTCCAACTATAAATGCGGACTTAAGATGGATTTTGGATCTAAAACTTCACGAGTTGATAATCTCGGCTATTACAATCACGTATTAAAAAAAAAATTTAAAAGAATTAAAATAAATATTCCAAATTAAAGTTTAAAATAAATTTTTTTTAAAACTTATAATTTATGATTGATCAATAAAATTTTGGAACCAAAATCCAAATCTAAATATCCCCATCCATAAAATGTATTATACCCTAGGATGCCATAGATTCATAGAGTTGCAACTTGCATTTTATATTTCTTAGGTCTCGAGGCCTATGATATGAGTCCAATGATAAGTTTTTATATACTTCATGATTCCTGTGCTAGGAAAGGGACATGAGCATGGACTTTACCAATACTCGCATTTCCCTTAGAAATGTATCCAAATCAAAATTTCTAGCAGAGCTATGCGAGATGGGGGGCTTTAGGTGTGCGTGGTAGAAGATCAATTTATGGAATTTTACTTTTGGAATATTTGTTATCAAATTCACTTTGCTTTGGTTGAAGAGGCCGAAGCTTCAAGATTTTAGGTCCAGACCGAAGTGAAGCGAAGCTTGATGATGTTGCCTTGGTCAGATTCAATCTTTTTGGGCCGCTTCTGTTAGAATCGGGCCGATTCGACCGAAGCTTCGGTCTCTTCTTTTTCTTTCGGGTGAGTTAGTGGGGAGAGGGCTCCTACCCTGCTAGAGATTGAGCCTAGGACGTAGCGTAGCAAATTGTCAAGGGCTAACCAATTAAGCTTCGGCCGCTTTGGCCAAAGCAAAGAAATATCTATAGAATTTATTTTTGAAAGTTTTTATTTTTAATATTTCATTATTTTTATAAATAGGTATATAATTTATTTATATTAAATTAAAAGAATTTGAAGTATTCTTCCAAATAGGCCGAAGCACCGAATTGTTTCATTTTTCTCATCAAAACGAAAAAGACATGCTAGCACAACATATCTCTACACAATAGAAGGGTAGATATTATTGTAGGACAATTTCTCCTATTAAAAGGAGGGAGCCGAGGTTTTAAACAATCAAATTAGAGCCCACATCAAAAAATTTCACTAGAAGAGGTTGTCTTGATGCCCAAATATCCTCACATTGATCACCCCGACATCAAGATGCATGGTCATGAGAAAAAAAGTGGATTTCAAGTTTCAAAAATAAAGTGTCTTGTAACGCATTTTTTAACCATCAATTTTCAAGATTTTTAAGTTTTCATAGATCTGGTCAATCTACACTAGTTTTTCAGCTTTAAATTTTATAATTAAAGATGGAAATATGGTTTAAGGCTATCATGAAAAAGCGGTAGCAATCTGTGGAGAATTCTCATTGCAATTGTTGGCGCTTATGGAAAGAGAGAAATGCCATAAATTTGAAGAATCAGAGGAACCTAGGCAAGTAATTCAGTGCATCAGCACAAATGTTATTCAATGGGCACAATCGCTCTCTGACCTTAAGGGATTCCTAGAGGAATTTCTTCGTAATGACTGCCATGATATCCTCTTTTCAAAAATGGTTAGAATTCTTGAGAATGCTGCCTGGAACACCCCTTCAAAGGGGGCGTTCAAGCTCAATTTTGATGGTAGTGTGCGGAATGATACTCGGATTGTGGTTTTGGGGGTTTACTAAGGGAACACATTTCTTTACCTATAATGGTAGATTGAACTTCTGTGATATTAATGAGGCCAAGTTATGGGCTCTCTCAAGGGAGGAGAAAGTAAGCTTGGCCTGCAACACAAATTGGTAGTAGTGGAGGGAGACTCAACAAATGTCATTAGATGGTACAAACGACCTAACTTCAATAACATGGACCTTCGCCTTCGTCATGAATGAAATCGTCTTTCTTTTAATGGGGAAGGAGGTAATTTTCTCTCATGTCAATAGAGGGAAAAATAGTGAAAAGAATCTACAGGTAACTGCATTTCTTTTCTTTTGTGTTTTTTGTATATGTACTTTTTTCATTTTCTTAATGAAATCCTACCTACTCAATATCAAAAAAAAGAAAAAGAAAAAGAAAGGGATCAATGCCATCAAAACCATGTATCTTTGTTGAATATTAATAAAGAAAAGGTGAGATTCACATTGTGGTTCGACAGTAAATTTAAACTTGTCCATTTTACCAATCTTATCAGTATGCTCATATGCATGATTTCTCCTTTTTCCCTGCTTTTGAGTTCATAATTTTAGAGGGTTTTTAATGAAACAGAGTCACTTACAATTGTCAAGAAAATAAATCTTTAAAAAATCAGAGAAAAGAGAAATAAAAACAAAGTGCAATTATTTTGGTGGTTACCCCATAAAAAATAATAATACTATAATCCATTTGACCGAAGTCTCATAACTATATACCTATAGGCGCCCATCACCATCCAATCAGTGGATGAAGAAAGGGGTACCTATAAGATGGGTCACATCATGTTTTGAAGGATCCCACTTCGTCCATCCATTGAATGGACGGTGATGACACTAATGAGACCATAGATTTCCTATTGTATATTCAAGCATACTTTCCCCGCACTATTAAAGACCATGAGATCAAATGGACCCATAACTTCCCTTATTGCATAAAAGTTATCTTTACACCCGTTATCCAACCGTCCATTATAAATGGATGGTTGAGATGACCCCAATCACAATATCATGTATCTACATTATTTTACTTTTCATTTTTGTTTTACAAAATATTGACACCAAATTTTGGGCGACCGCTCTTTTCTTAAACTCGCACTTGTAAAAATATTAAAAAAATATTGTCAATAAAAAAAAATCAAAATACCCATACAAGTTTCAAAGGGCATGTTGGTCATTATATTTCATTGAAAAATTCTTTTCAATATTTTTTAGGTGTGCCTATTGAAGTGATGGCACGTACTAAATTTTATATTAATATAATTTGTAAAAAAACGAAAACTAAAATACTCTAAGACGTCAGATTTAGATCAAATCGTCAGTAGTTCACTTGACCTAAATTGGACGGCCGGAAGGGGGTGGAGTGTATATCTTTTCTGTTGTAGGGAAAATATAGAAATCTTTCTCATAAAAAAAATAATAGCCCCACTTACTTTTCCATCAACCTTGAACCAAATAATAATAATAATAATAATAAAATAAAAAATCTCTATGTTTCCAAACGAGCTTAACTAAATTGTTGCAAGTAGACCACAAAATTTACATAGATCGCACTATGAAGCTCTTTTTGCTATTTAAAAATTGACACATTTTTTTGTGTCTTATTTCTTTTTTCTATATATTTATTTATTTATTTATTTTTACAGCTAATATTGGCAAAAGATACATATATATTTTATACGTCATTAATGATAATTAAACTCTTCCACATGAGTTCCATTTCTAGTGATGGTAGAAATAACTTTATTTATTTATTTTTACAGCTAATATTAGCAAAAGATACATATATATTTTATACGTCATTAATGATAATTAAACTCTTCCACATGAGTTCCATTTCTAGTGATGGTAGAAATATCTTTCCTGCTAAACGGCCTAATGAAAAGGACAAATAAGCCCTCAATATAAATAATGACAACTGAGCCCTTAATTCTGAATTCCTTCAACCTGCAAAGCTACAAAACTGCAGTATAGATACAAAATGCTGATCTAGGCATGCATAATAATCACCCAAACTCTCTCTCCTCCCTATGCTGTACATTTACTCATGACTCGGCCACTGAATTTGGGTCTCCTTCTCTCAGATGGAGGAGAAACTGATATCCTCTTGCTTATGTTTTCTCTCTCATGCCCGCCATCACTTCGAGCAGGACTTTCGCTCTCATACTCATCAATACCACTGTTCATGGGGCTTTCTCTCTCATACATACTTTCACATTCAACTGCTGTTTCTCTCTCGCATCCATTATTCATCTTATCTTCACATGATGTCTGGGATTTCAATAAGTGGGGTCTCAATCTGTTCATGTCTGATAGCTGAACAGGCTTCAGCAAGAATTCCTCTGCACCTCCTTCTAAGCATCTGCCATTGTTCACAAATCACATATCACAAATAAAAAATAAGAAATATAAATAAATAAAGGAAGAATTCATCATTATTATTATTATTATTTATTTAGTTTCTGAATAAAATTATTATCAATATCATTATTATTATATACGGGCTCTAAAATTTTAGGTAAAATACAAAAAGCTCGCTTATAAATGGAAATTACAAAAGAAGATCTGTCGATCCACTTCTCTTTTTTTTTTTCAAAATTGCCCTTCAATCAATCCAAATTTTGATTTTTTTTTTAGTTTTTTTTTTGCTTTTATGTTAGTAGGGCTACCCCAGGCTTGGGGGAATTCATTATTATTATTATTATTATTATTATTAATATGGACCTTAAAATTTTAGGTAAAATACTAAAAGCTATGCTAACAGGTAGAAATTACAAAAGATTATCGGTCAATCTATTTTTTTATTTTTTATTTTTTCAAAATTGCTCCTCAGTCAACCATATTTTGATTTTTTTTTTATAGTATTTTTCATTAGCAGGGCACTGCCCCATGCTATAAGAGGAGCATTTCATATTTACTCATTATTGCTAATATTAAAGAAATAAAAAAAATTGATGGGGGGAAGAGATTTCTTTGATTGAAATTCACCTGCTGATTCTGGAAGGCAAGTTTTCAGATGACATGATCACCACTGGGATGTCTTTGTAAGAAGATGATTCCTGCACGATTACAACAACTCAGTTCAATTCATAATTTTAGAGAGATTTGAAGAAGAAGAAGCATGGGAAATGTTTTTAATCACCTTAATTTTCTTGAGCAAATCATAACCAGTCATGCCAGGCATGCAGTAATCTGTGATTATGAGATTTACTTTCACATCCTGCAATAAAACCATGATAGCCGTTAAGGGGAGAGAGAGAAAGTTTTAGAGAGATAAAGATCTTTCTTGCCGAACTAAAAAAATTATGCATATGCAGAAAATTCCAAAGGGAGAAAACCCAGTTCTTACATGTTGCTGGTGTGGAGAAGGATCCAAGCTATCCAACAAACCCAGAAACTCCAGAGCTTTACTTCCTGAATCCACACTAGTAACTGAAACCACAACGCGAAGAACAAAAAACCAGATCAGAAACACAGAGAAAAACAAAACCAAAACAAAATGGAATTGAACCTAGAAAGAAAACCCAATCCAAATCTGCAACTTCCATAATTCGAGAAAAAGCTCTCTCTCTCCCGTCTTTCTTATCAAATGAAGAGAGAGAAAGTGTTACCCTGAAAAGAAGAAGTAGTGAGAAGCCTCTCCAAAAGCTTTCTATCTAAGAGGCTATCATCAACGGCCAAAACATGGAATTCACAGGGCCCGAGCTCTGGCTCTTGGCCTTCCATGGCTTTGTAGAAAGAGAAAGAGGAAGAGAAGTGCAGAGGAAAGGTGAGTGAGAAGAGGTTCTTTATAATAATGAGGAGGAGTTAGAGAGAGAAAGAGGGTGGGAAGAGGTATTTCACGTTGGCATGGAAAATGATGGGGATTGAGTAGGTGGGAAGCAACGCTGTTTGATCTCCCCAGATTTTGTCCAGCCTCTCATTGTCTTCCTCCTCCTGATTTTGTTGCGCTTTTTTCCACTCCTCTTCCGCCCCCCCACCCCCCCCCACCCCTCTCTCTCTCTACAGAAAAAAAAAAAACACCATAGCTTTTCCTCTTTCTCTCTCTACCAAAAATTTCCCATATCTTCTCTACTTCCTTTTAATCTCTATAGAAATACAAATTACCATCCCTATTGCCCTATTATTTTCATGAAAGTAAGAAATGGCTAAAATTGCCCATGTACTTTTGGATATGACCAGCGATTGGATCAGGTCTGGATCACTATTCTAGCAAGTATTGAAAACTAATTAATAAAAGAGTGATTATAAAGGTCGGTCAACCTGTTATTTTTATTTTTTTAAAAAAATTTCATTTGGTGTGATGATGGAATCCTCGATTCAAATTTTATTTTAATTTTTTTTTTAGCTTTTTCGTTAGTAGGAAAATACCCCAAGCTTTATGGTAGTGTCTTACTAATGAAAAAACTAAAAATAAAAATTTAATTCAATAGAAAAATAAAAAAAAAATTGAGTTGATCGACTTTTTTTGTAATTTTTAACTATAAATGGAGCATTTCGTATTTTTTTAAAAAAAATTAGAGTCCGTATGCAAATTACTTTAAATAAAATAGGAGTTTTTTGGTATAAGTTTGAAAAATAATATAAATATATATGGGTTATGTTAGGGTGTTCACACTATAAAGTAATTTATCAAAATTTGAACATATATATATCATTGCTTTGTACATAAAGTGTTTTTTAATGAAAGTATTTTTTATTATTAAAAATGTGATGTCAGGGTATCACATCACCTATATGGATCATTAAATGTTAATAATATGTTTCATATAGACGAAATATGCTCCATATACAAAACAAAACTATAAAAATATAAAAAATTATTGAATATAATGATAAATTATAACATAGCATAAACACGGCGCCCATATCCCATCCCATCCCAATTCGCAAGTTTCATAACACCGGGCGTGACCTTTACGCCCTGGCCTTGCATCGAGCGTGTAAGACACATGTGGTCACAACTCATAAGCATTATCTCCGTGCTATCTTGTTTCTCTCCTCATTAACTATGTGGTCATAAGATTTATCAGTGTCCAATCATGGTTTGGACATTTGACGAAGAGTAGGTGGGACCTGCTAATGAAGAGTACCGTGCACGGCCTGCTCAACGATCACCGTCAAACCCACTGCTAAAGGGGCATCTCAGCCCCAAAGAGAGTAGAGCGGAAGATTTGACGATGTCTTTAAAATCTAATTTTACGCTTTATTTTTTTGGGTAAGTAAAAATCAATATGGATTTCGGCCTCACTCTTGGATGAAAATGGTGTTAGAGACTCGATCATAGAGTTTAACAATACTACCTCCTCACTCTTGGATGAAAATGGTGTTAGAGACTCGATCATGGAGTTTAACAATACTACCGTCAAGGCTCCAGGTCATTTTCAATATAATTTTGCATTTAATAGTGGAATTTAATGCTTATAAAATAATGCACTATAAATATCAAGGATGTATTTGAGAACACACCACGTTTAAGCATTCAAATCTACTTCTTGTTTTGCTCTATTATAGCTATTAAAACTTAGGATGTAATTTAGTGGGATTTGGTGTAGGAGTAATGGTGGTTGAATTAGATTTTGGTAGGGCCAAACAGTAACTGACTTTGTGGAGATGGTCTTTCACAATTCAGACCCAAAAGTAGAATTTAAAAGAGTTAATGTGAAATCTAATGGTTTTTCGTTTGTTATGGAAAAAGGGTGAAATCATTAAAATTCAACTGAAATTTCGCCAAGAATTCAGGGTACCTTCTTCGCCGGTTGATGGACCCGACATTTAAAGCACTACACCTAAAACACCACCCGCCCCGTTAAACTTGACCCCCTCTCTCTCTCTCTCTCCGTTAAACTTAAACTATCTCTCTCTAAAACACACACTCTCTCTCCCGCCCCGATAAACTTATTTCTCTCTCTAAAACACACACTCTCTCTCTCTTTGTTTCTTTCGGAAGGAGAAGCCAAATGTGCTTTAGCATTGAAAATGAAACGAATAAGGGAAATGGCAAAGGGCAAAAACCATCTCTGTTTCTTGCTTTCGAAAAGGGAAATGGCAAAAGGCAAATCTCTCTCTCTCTCTTTACTCAGTCTTGTACCCATGTTTAGAGGAGATATACATCATATTCTTCGATTTTGGGGGACGCAACTGTGTTTATGTTGCCCTAACATCTCTCTCTCTCTCTCTCTCTCTAAAATGGAACAATGCAACGTGGCAACTACCCCTTGCACAGAAAGACAAGAGAGAGAAAGGAAGAGACCAATTATATTCACGTTCCAATATATTACATTAAGAAAGAGAAGGAAAGTGTCCATCATAATTTTCACTAAGTTTGGGCAAATATTGAGTGTTGATCATTCTGGTGAGCCAATTTGGAAAAAATTTAAAAAATATTAAAATTATTTGTAATTCTTTTTTCTTTTTTTTTATCGTTTTGATTAAGTTTAGAAGGTGTTTTTGCTATAAATATTTATTTTTTTATTTTTCCTTCTTTTGGATTACATACCTTCAATCACACATTGATTTTTTCAAAACTCATTTTTCACTATTTTTTTAACCTTATTTGTATTTTATTTAATTCTATCTTAAACATATTTTTTCTATATTTTTGGATTTTTTGGCTTGGCCAGGACCCAGCCCGACTCAAACCAAATAACTCAATCTCGACCCGAGTTACTCGACTCGGACACGGACCGAGTTCCGCACGCGAGCCGTGGTTTTGAACTCCATAGGAGTAGGAGAGAGAGAGAGAGCTAAAATTAGGGGTAGAGAGAGAGATAGATAATTAGGGTAAATCGAGGGTAGAGAGAGAAAAAGTAGCATAATTTTGATAAAAGTGGGGGTTAGCTTAGAGAGAAAGAAAGTAGGGTCGTTGTCACTTAAAATTTGAAGATCTTGCAATTCGTCCTACCATCGTCTTTCAAACATCAGAGACTTATTCAATTCCGACTTCTTCCATGGTTTCATTCCTACTTTCTTCTCCTACAAACCGAGGGTTGGCATTCCTACAATGTGCTCCTCGTTTATTCTTCTCCACCCTTAAAAATCCCACCCCTTAGGTCTTGGGGGGTCCACCAAAGATTTCATGAACCATTGTATATATCGGTGCACTAATAAAGTATAGTAATCTAGGAGAAAATACGAGTGGGGGACCATGGCCCTACAACTTTAGGTCCCCTACCCTACAAATCAAATATTGTGGGTCCCTTACCATAAGTATTTATTATTACTTTTTGTAACGTTGGATTGGGGTTTTATATCTCTTGGTGGGCCCCATTGACCCTCTTGCTCCCCACCTTCAACCGTGTGGGATTTTCTGCGGACTTGTACACGCGTGTTCACATCGAGAGAGAAGTGGAAGAAGCTTCTCTTTATACTTCTTTTCTCTCCACTCTATTTTTTTTTGCATCTTTTTCCATGTGATGAGTATCTCATAGAAGATTATATAACTTCCAAGTTTAATTCAAAATAAGTAGCTACAAGATTGTTCGGGTGATTTTTTCATATTTTTATTTAAAGGAAAAAGTTCGAGGTCTTAAACAATTAAATTAAGGCATACCTTAAAAATCCATCAGGATTGTTGAAAAACTCTTAATTCGATCATCCCAACCTCAAGATATACGACAAAAAATAGATTTCGAATCTTGGAAACAATGCATCTTGTAATGTATTATCTAGACCGTCAATTTTCAAGTTTACAAGTGTTCATAGATGTACTCGATCTACATTATTTTTTAATCCTTAAATTTTATAATTAGATATGAAAATAAAATTTCAAGACATCATAAAGATTTCTGATACTAAGACAACGTATTTCGGTACTATTTTAAGGCGTGCCTTACTTTGATTGTTTAGGGAGTAGGCCTTGTACAAACCACACCGTTATTTAAAAATAAATCATTAAAAAAAAGGATAATTAGTTCATGAAGGTCTACAACTACCATAAACCAAATGGACGACCTGAGTTCACTGAAAATTTTGGACATGTTCTCTACTTTCTTGTGTGAATTCAACAATTTTTAATTTTAATCGAAATGAGAACTGCATGTGTAAAATTGGATATCTAGTAAACTCCAATTTTTAAAGTGGTTTAGGCTAGAGTATGAACTGGTTGGCTTGTATAAACTTTCTCCATAGGTTTATTTAGTAAGTAAATATATATTTAGAGATTGTATACAAAGAGACCATTTATCTTTGGAAAAAGTTTATACACGAGGCTCTAAATAATCAAATTAGGGCGTACCTTAAAATTTTCACTAGAAGAGGGTGTTTTGATGCTCAAATATATTCAAATTGATCATCTCGACCTCAAGATGCAAATATATAAGAAAAAAAATGGATTTCAAGTTTTGGAAATGGTGCATCTTGTAATGCTTTTTTGAACCGTCAATTTTCAAGATTTTCAAGTTTTCATAGATCTGCTTGATTTACAATATTTTTTAAAGTTTAAATTTTATAATTAGAGATAAAAATATATTTTAAGGCTATCACAAAGATTTTTAGTATTGAAACCACACTTCTAGACACTATTTGAAGGTGCGATTTACTTTGATTGTTTAGAGCCTCGCTCCATACAAACCACACCCTCTTTTTATCTTTTCTACATAGAGATCATAATCATTATTGTCCCTTGAATTTCAAAATGGGTGGTTGTAAGAGTATCATTGAATCAACACATAGGTCCGAAAAAACAAAATCTCAAACTTTGAGACTCCCAAAGTCATCCAATTTGACATCTGATGAGTGTGAATGATTGTAACCTCCGTGTACAAGAAATAAGTGATCTTGTTGTAGATAATCCCATATATTTATATGCATTGTTTATTGGGTGTGGTTTCTATAAGGTTCCAACCTTAAACAATCCAATTAAGGTGCACTTCCAAATTTTATCTTAACATGTAATTTTGTTGTAAATTGTTTTTAGGATTATTTTAAAAACTATTTTCATATCTAATTAGAAAATTTTAAACTACAAAACTGGTTAAAATCAAACAG